TACCCGAATCCGCTGCCCAAGTGCACGAGGCTCTTACCCTACCCGGTCGCGTCCTGTGTGAGGACAAGAATCAATTCGGTGCGCAACTTCTTGGCAGGTTGGCGGAATCCACAGACAAAGACGTCATCCAGCTTCTTACAGACATTGAAGAAAGATCTCGGGTTTCGTTGCATCCTCGTCGACAGTGCCTGACTGCCCCCGGCGGACCCACCATCAAAACCTACAGCAGGCATCTGGAGGCAGTTCTTTGCATTGTCGTGACGAATGCACCGGGGCCTAAGAGGGTCTTCATGGGGTTTGCCGACAGCACGGTCAGAGTGTGGGACATGGAATCTTGCAGGGATGTCAGCGTCCTACACGGTCACCATAGCGACGTATCCGCTTTGGCGATGAGGAAGGACGACGCGATCCTAGCGTCTGGATCGAGGGATTCCACCGTGAAGATCTGGGACGTGGATGGGCTGATCTTGCTCTGCACGCTGGAGGGGCACAAGGGTAGCGTCAACGGAGTTGCTTTTCTAGAGGACGGCACCACTCTGGCGTCCGTGTCCAGCGACCAAACCGTAAAGGTGTGGAAGCTAGACGCCTTACCAGAATCTCAGGCGTCGAATGTGCTGCTTTCGGGCAGTCCTTTGACACCTATAACCTCCATAATCTGGCCCACAAACAAGAACTTTGAGATCGAAGCCATGCCAAGACCCCAGCTTTTGTCGACGTCACCAACAGAAAGTGATGACGCCAGAGGCCTACCTGGCCCGAACACGTGGCTGTGCGTGTCGACCCTAGTGGGCCACACTGGGGAGGTGAACGGAGTGTGCGCCTTCCATCAGAACAACAGCATGGTGGCCACGTGTTCGGAGGACCACACCGTCAGACTGTGGGACCTGGACAGCCTGCAGTCGCACTGCCTGGAGGGGCACGAGAGAGCGGTGTGCGACGTTGCCATGACAACGGACGACAGGTTCCTGGTCTCGGCGTCAGGCGACAGGAAGGTGGGCGTGTGGGACGTGGAGAAGCGAGACTTGCTACACAAGTTGGTCGGCCACACGGACATGGTCGCCGCCGTCGCCATCACGCCAGACGGCGCTACACTGGTGTCAGGCGGTGGGATGGACGATACCACTATCAGGATATGGAAACTTCGGGAGGGGGATCCGGTCTGCACGTTCAGAGGCCACGGAGACGGAATAAAGGCGATAACAGTGGTAGACACTGACAAGGGAAGGATGCTCTTGTCCGGGTCTGTGGACGCTTCATGTAGAATCTGGAAACTTGAGAACGCTCCACAGGACGTTGAACCCCTCCCGGGACACGATAGTCCGGTCTACGCTGTTGCCATGACAAAAGCAGGGAGGTTAGCAGTGTCCGGCTCGCGGTCTGGTGAGCTGAAGCTGTGGAATCACAACACCGGAGAGACGGAAGCCGTGGTCAGGAACGCGCATTCAAGGTCGATTCGCGCCTTAGCAGTATCAGAGGATGAGAGCATGGTGGTGTCGGGATCTAAGGACAGAAAGGTCAAGATCTGGGACGTGAGTCAAGACACAGAGACCTCTAGCGACATCTTTAGATCGGTGCAGCCGTCCTACCTGTTCGAGAGGTGCGTCCTACGCGGCCATGTAGGGGCGGTCCAGTGCGTCGCCATCTCTCAGGATTCCAGATTGGTCGTTTCTGGGGGTTGGGACAACCTTGTCTTGTTGTGGAACGCCAAGAAGGGCAGGTGCGTTCGGAAGCTTGTCCACGTCAGCTATGGCATCATGTCGGTGGTCTTCTGTAAACAGTCTATCGTGGCATGTGCCAGGGACAATGTAGCATGCAGGTGGGATGGGCTAACTGCAGACGATCAGATCAAGCGGACTGCAGTGCGTGGTCCGGGCGCAAGGTGGCTCTCCTACCCGGCGGTGATGCTCTCCAATGAGGAGAAGATTGTGAGTGGTTGTCCCGAAGACGAACGGTTTCGACAGTGGGACAAAACGGGGCGACAGTCCTTCGGGAACTGCGGCCATCCGAGCGACTCAGTGCTGACAGCCCTGGCGGTGAGCTGCGATGGAAAGACGCTGGTTTCAGCCTCTACCGCCGGGACCATAACAGCTCTGAACTTTTCAAGTAGCAGGCAGGATGTCACGCATTATGTGACGCAAAAAGAAGTGGTGGCGCGTTCCGAGTTAAAGAAGCAGACCAGCGCGATCACTGTCTTAGAAACAGGCGCGGAAGGACACGCGGTCTTCTTGACAGGCGACGTGCAGGGAGCCGTCAAGATGTGGCACACCGACCAGGGTGCCGACGTCGTCCGCTATGTGAAGGATAGATTCGAGGTTCTCGGCGCGGCTCTGGGACAGATCACGTCGTTCTGTAACCTGTCCCGGCACCTGGCGGTCTCCGGGAGCGGCGGCGGCACCCTGGCGGTGTGGGACGTGCGCGAGCGGAGAAGGCGGGACTGCTGGGAGGCGCACGACGCTGTCGTCACCGACGTCGTCACGACGGACGGAGGGGGACGTCAGACGATCCTCAGCGTCCCGAACACGCGGCTGGTTCTCAGCGCATCCCTGGACAGAACCATCAAGCTGTGGTTTGTGTCAGCGTCGTCGTACCAACCGCTACACCTCATGTTCCTGCCACGCGATTGTCCGCCCGCTCTCAGGATTGCAGCCGCTCCGAACGGATGCCACTTCGTCACGGGCTCCGTGGACAACAAACTCCGGGCTTACGACGCGAACACCTTCGAGCTGGTCAGGGAGTACCCTTCTGACTACTACGGCGTCAACTGCGTTGGCTTTACATCTGATGGACGGGAAATAATGTGTAGCCACAGCGGTAGCTTTCTGGGCATCTGGGATTTCAACACAGGGGAGTGCGTGAGCGCAAAGAGGGACGACAACACGGCGAGGCGTTCAGGAACGTGGTGCCATTTCTCTGCAGTCGTCCCAAACCCGTCTCTCGTGGGACCTTTGGTTGTCACGGGAGACGCACAGAACAAGTTAACGGTTTTGGATTACGTAACGGGTGACGCGAAGCATCGCTTGCAAGTCCCCAGCTGGAAGTTACGTCGGTGTTTACAGGAAGTGACGTGTGTGGCGGTGACGTCAGACGGCGGGAAGGTTGTGTCAGGGTCGGCAGACAGGACGCTGAGGGTGTGGTCCGTCCTTCCGTCAGGGGAGTACAACTTACTCCGCCAGTTCACGTTTGAGCATGCGCCACTAGCGGTGGCCATCACGGACACAGGGAGGATCTGTGCGGGACTGAGTAACGGTCAGGTCTGTTTCCTCCAGCTCAGAGAACCGACAAAGACGTAAACGAAAGCCCTACAAAATACTAAATTTAAAATTCAATAGCCGATCAAGCCAGAAATATGCCAGGAGGTGAGACTAGCCTCTACCAGGCTTCGGAAGTCGGCTGAAAAGAGAAGAAATTGGCCAAATATAGAGAATTAGGCCATGTTGATTTGATTATATGGATGACATCCGCGCGCGCATGAATTTTCGGCCGTTTCCAAAAAAAAGTTTTCAACCATACTGTAAATCGTACAAAACAGTTGCAAAATGAGCAAAAATATACCGTAAGTTACAAAAAAATGAGTAAAAACTATACAATGTCGTAGAATGCCAAAATCAAACGAAAAAAGACGAAATTGTAAGGAAATGAACTTGAAGATTAGATTATTCGCCAAACCATATTCTGTCCCATTTGTTCAACCCTCATGACCACGTAGATTTCATAATGAAAACAACTTTTTTTTTTTTGCAAAACTTTTTTTTTATTCGCACGCGCGCATCAGTTTTGGGGCTCCCGGAGGATGTCATCCATATAATCAAATCAACATGGTTAACAAGCCGGGGGAGTTGGTCGGCTAGAGAGTACAGTTTCGGGTGCGACAAACTGCGCTCTCTAGCGGACCATTGGCACGTTTGGAGTTCAGTCTTATAACCTTATTTCAAATTCATCGCGCTTCATTCAAATTCACAGTACTTTGAAATGTTTAGAGTCCAGTTATAACAGAAAATGTGTTATATTTTAAAAAACCAAAGAGTGGTTCATAGACTTGATGTTTGTTTTGTCTACATTTATTCGGTTTTTGTGTTAAGATTTACTTATCGTATAACAGGTAGTGGCATACGCACATGTAAAGTATATTTTACATACAGCAGCTCAACTCATTGTTCTGGAGGCTGTTGCTCCCAAGTTTTTTTTGTGCTTTATAAATAATAAATAGAAAACACCATCAAAGTTTTACTCAGACTGATGATTTTTATCGTAGAATACGATTTTACTTATTGTTTTAGAATATCACAAATGTTATTTCTATCAAAGGATAACAACATTTCATTTTAAGCATTACGTTTTTTTCAAAAACAAGCAGATATTTCAATCTGTGAAATCGGTCTGCCATGTACGCATGTATATGTAAAAAAGTTTGGGTCCCAATCTACTCTTAAAACAAGCTGGTTTGCTGTAGAATATACTTAATATGTATTCACGACATTTGCTTCGACTGGAAGGCGACGTACGTACATTTCTAAGCGCTTAGACCCGGTTGGTGTGGTATCGTCGTTCAGCTGCCCAGGGACCTGACAAGTGGCGTCATGTTTGGACGACAGAAGCAGCCCAAGGCTGAGGACATAGCAGGTAGGGTGTCTCTGTATCTTCATCTTGAGTACAAAATGTACCACCAAATAACCCCGCGAGGGTTACCGTTAGGGGGAGAGGAGGCCCGGGCTAGGACGGGCAGGCCGCCGGCCCGGCCCGGGACGACTCAACATTGAGAGCCATATTAACTACCGGGCCGGGCAAGGAATTCCACTGTTAAGCAGCAATTTGATGGCTGAAATTTTTTTATTCGCCACTGACGCCCGCGCGTACTAGTTTGGTGGTGTTCAGAGGATGTCATCCATAAAATCAAGTCATTGTGGCGTAAGGCTATGAGCATATCTTAAATTTCCTGCAGGCACGACACCCAAGTCTCAGTCTCAGACTGATTGGAGCTCAGTTGCGGACGCCGCCGCCAATATACCCAACCCCATGTACCCCTCTCGAACAGGTAAAACGATTTCCTCGTCTTAGTATCTTGAGAGTTTATCTTTGTTGGTAGAAGTCATCATGAGGCACGTTTAAACTACGTTACTGTAATTACTAACGCAAGAATTGGACTTATCAAGGAACGAGCGTGTGTTTGTGTGTGTGTGTGTTTGTGTGTGTGTATGTCAACACGATACTCAAGAAGGCCTTGATGGATTGTCTTGATATTTGGCAGGTGGGTAGGTCTTGATGAGACCTCGAAATGATTAGACATCCTAGATGCGCCACAGAAAAACCGCGCGTCGGTGGCGCCGACCTGTTTGCACGCATTAAAAAATGTGTCGTACAGCTCGCGCCGCGCGTCGAGTGACGTCCGACAGATATATTTTGACCCGTGTAAACCGGGCAGAGTGTGAGTGATAAATTAGACCCCGAGGTGCTAACTCTGTAACGTCGACGTCAGGGGTTTCTGGCTTCCCCCAGCCAAAGGGAATATTGTGTCGAGCTAACCAAGATAATTCAGTGGGGCTAATTAACTCCTGGCGTAAGAAAAACTTTATTAGCAAAGCTCCTACAGGCCTAACACTCCCAACGGGCGGTCAGTTCAGCAGTGGAGCTGGGCGGGGGAAAAGACAGCCTGCCCCAACCACGATGGACAGGATACCAGGCATGGGATACGAAAGAAATGATCTGTTGTTCTTACAGGTGCATCCAACGATGCGGATGCGACAACAGAGAAGAAGAGATATCGATGTTGGGATTTAAGCAAGAAGATGTTGAAGATCGCCGGCGTCATTATCATACTCCTATCATTCTCTCTGCCATATTTTGCAGGTTAGCATATGTATTATGCATGCCTTCGCAAAAGGAAAACGTATTGTTTTTGCTCAGTTTCTTCCACCTCTATTCCGTCTCCAAACAAACAAAGTCAATGACCTGGACCAGGCGTCTGTAACCATGGTATTAGGTGAAGTGACAGGCACCCTGTGGTGTAGGGTTACATTTTGTAGCAGGACAGATTTTGATGGGCTGGTCACCATATAATTTAGATGAATGTGTTTGAATAAAAATATACAGAGCAGAAGTTTGTTAGGCTACACAGTACACTATCAGTATGTGAAAGTAAACATTATGCATTTGCTTTGTAAATGCTACCTTTCTAGTGAATGGTTTATTTTTTTTGTCTATCATTACATTTCGTAGCGATACTGTGAAACGCAGCAACCTTATATTTCTCTCTCTCTCTCTTCTTTAACGCAGTCAAAGTCAGCAAACAGATGACGGAACTTTCTTCGGTGATGGATAACCGGTTCAACACGATGGAGGTGCGACAAAAAGAACTAGAAGAACGTGAGTATCACACCATCATAAAACAATTATGTCTGTATCTATTTGAATTCCAAAAACACAATCCACATAATACATTACATCACACATTTATTACACTAAGTATAAATACAATTGCAAAAGCAATTGATAGAATTTTGTTTATTAGCATACAGACGAACCGCTAAGACTAGGCTGGGCCATGTGTTAAGCTGGACCATGTGAAGGTAAGCATTATGCACTTGCTTTGCAAACGTTGCGTTTGTTTTCCTTAGGGGCACAAGGGATGCCTGGACCGCCAGGAAAAAGGGGGCCTATGGGGCCAGCCGCTCGTGGTCCTATCGGGCCACCTGGGCCACCTGGCCCACAAGGGATAAGGGGGCCAACTGGGCCTATTGGTCCGCAAGGTCTACCTGGAGCACCTGGAAAGGGCAATGCAGGTAAGAAACAAGTTCTCTCTGTGTACAAAATTATAACATTCAAATTCATTTATTACCTTCACCTTTGCATGTGTATATGTGGTTTAGCATGATAACTCAAGAAGGTTTGGATGGATTGTCATGAAACTTGGTATGAGCTTAGGTCTTGACCTCTTGAAGAAACGATTACACTTTGGTCTACCTGGCGGCTTTCCTTGGTACTACAGCAGAAAAATCCTGTTTCAACTTTTCGTGTAATCAGGACATGATAGGGTCATCATTTTTGAGTGCATGTAAAGAATACAACAATTTTTTATCTAACCTCAGTACACATGTATTCTCATGAATAGACTACCTGCCATCCAACTGCACTGAAGTGGCAGAAAGAGGTGTAGTTAACAAGATGCGCTACGTCATCGACCCAGACGGACCCGGACGTGGCGTCCTGCCGATGCATGTTCAGTGTGACCATGAGGGCGGAACAGGTTAGGAGAAAAAAATATCCGAAAAGTGTGTTGACAAGTCAGATCAAATTTAGAAGACCTCTGACAATTTAACATTAGGTGGATTTCGAGCCCTGTTTAGTGGTGACCACAAACACACACATACAAACACACAGTCACACATCACACACACGCGCACGCACGCACACACACGACACACAGTGACACACACACAGACACGACGCACAGTAACACACACACACACTCACACACACAGACGCACACACATACACTCACACAAACACACACAGTGACACACACACACACTCTCACAGACACACTGTGACACACAAACACACACAGACACACACACACACACACACACACACACGTGTACATACACACTCACGCACACACATATACTGCAGCCTGCTAACTATATTTTTCATTGCAATTCAAGCAATTACCCTGATTGGCCACGACAGTGAGGCTCGGACCCGTGTGGAAGGGTTTGAGGATCCAGGAAGCTACTCCAAGGACGTGACATACTGGAACACCATGGAACAAGTGAGGGCTGTGGTGGACCAGTCAAGCTCCTGCAAACAGCACATCAAGGTAGGCCACACTGACTTCATTCTATGGATGACGGTTGTTTTTTTTTTTATATGGAAGACCCCAAAACTAATGCAAGGGGGCTAGTAAAAAGAAGTTCAGCTGAGAAAACAGCAGGAATACAAAGCTGGTACATGTAATTTGCAGTTGTACATGACTTCTTTTGCAACATGCCGGCACATGCTGGCCTTTTGTAGTATTTATGAGTCCGTGTCGTACTGAGTTATAGAGTTCCGTGGAGCCTCGGTAGCCTGGTGCTGTCCTCCTTAGTTACAGCTGGCTCTCTATTGCCGGTGCCATAACTACTAATTATATAAGCTCAGAAAATATAGTCCAGTGTTAGTGAACCAAGGATCGAGAAATTTACAAACTCGTTTTTCCCTACAACTCTTTGTAGAATGGAACTTGCTGCCACCAAGTACAGTAGGGACATCCTCACTAGTAGTAGAAAGGTTACATTTAACAGGTTGTGCGGTGTAATACTAGTATAATTAGCTGCCGCCATGCCGTGTACCTGCGCCTGTTGGTGTGTTACGCCTAAGAGCGGTTATACAATATACTGGTAACAGAGATACTGAAATATACTTATGCTATGGCATTGCACAGCTGATCATGATATCCAGCTAATAATTGCACAAATGCGCTTTTCCAGTATGAATGTTGCGACTCATTCTTTTGGGACGGTCGATGGTATGCCTGGTGGGTGACTTGGGACGGTCGCCAGGCTGACTACTGGGGAGGTGCCAGTCCTGGCAGTGGGAAGTGTGCCTGTGGACAAACAGGTAATTATGTTTACCTTCGCAGAAGGAAAACATATTGTTTTTGCTTCCTCTTCGTCCTTGTCCAGACAAATCAAGTCAATGACCTGGGCTAGGCGTCTGTCACCATGGTAACTAGCATTGTAGCAGAAACCCTGTGGTGTTGGGTTACATTATGTAGCAGGACAGGGCAGTGTGGGTGCTCACCATTACTCTCCAAGCAGAGGTTTGGGGTAATTTTGGGCGTGTTTTTAAGGCTTTTTTTTATCGGGGGTTTTTTTGCACTGGAATTTTTTTTCACCCAACACAACAAAAAAATTCCAGTGCAAAAAAGAAACCCTGTTAAAAAAGCCTAAACACACACACACACACACACACACACACAAAAGAACAAAAACAAATCCCAAACCTCTGTTTGCAGAGTAGCTTACCATACGAATGTGAGTAACAATAGACAGAGCAGTACTCGTAGTTTGTTAGGCTAGACCAATTGTGAAGGCATAACATTATGCATTTCCTTTGCTTTCTAGTTGTAACTTTTATCAGGCATCAACCAGTTTACGTAATAGGCAGTTTGGGGTATTATTATAGTAATAGGCAGATTTTCTCTGTGTCCACATTTCAAAGATAGCATTTACAGAGCTGATTTTCCCTGTCCTGATATACTACTTTTCTTCGACACCAACAAATTCAGTCTTCTCATATTGTTCTCTCCCCGCACCACAGGCACATGCTATAATGGTGGTAGATGCAACTGTGATGCCAATGACCGCACTTGGCGTGAGGATTCTGGGTTCCTGTCTAACAAGAATGACCTGCCGGTCACCCAGCTCAGGTTCGGGGATACTGGTGATTCCAAGGAAGAAGGATTCTACACCCTTGGGAAACTCATTTGCTATCCCTGAGTCTCTCTCTCTCACTCTCTCTCTCTCTCTCTCTCTCTCTCTCTCTCTCTCTTTCTCTCTCAGTCTCTCGCTATCCCCTCTCTCTTTCTTTCTCTGTCGGTCTCTCTCACTCTCACACTCTCACACACTCACGCTCTCACACTCTCACACTCACTCACACTCGCACACTCTCACGCTCTCACACTCACACTCTAACACACTCACGCTCTCACACTCTCTCACGCTCTCACGCTCGCACACTCTCACACTCTCTCACACTCTCACGCTCTCAGGCTCTCACGCTCTCACACACTCACGCTCTCACACACTCACACTCACTCACACTCTCACACACTCACGCTCTCACACTCTCTCACACACTCACGCTCTCACACACGCTCTCACACTCACTCACACTCTCACGCTCTCACACTCACTCACACTCTCTCTGTGAGGGCTCGAAGTACTGCATGCATGTGCACCTCAGTGCATCCAAAATTATTGGAGCTGTGCGCCCAATTTTGCTGTGTTCTATTTGCATCCAAATATTTTTGTAGGTTTACGCATGTATTTTTTTAGGAAACGCATGCAACCAACGTATATGTCAAGAAATGAACTGCTTTGTGCAGAGCCTAATTATGTTTACCTTACTCAGTTTCTTGCATAAGGTTAATGACCTGCACCAGTCGGATGTCACCACGGTAACTAGTGTAGTGTTATAGCAGACACCCTGTAGTATTGGATTACATTATGTAGCGCAGTAAGGGACAGTTTACCATGTTAACATGAATGTGTTTGACCATGATGAGTAAATATATACAGAGCAATGGTTTGTTTGGCTACACCATGTGAAAGTAAACATTATGCATTGCAAATGTTTTGCAAATGTTACCTGCTTTTTAGTCCCGCATTATATTAACAGTAAATGATACAAGGCCTAAGGTGTCAATGATACTCGTAATTGAAGTGTTACATCAGAAAATGTGTTATATTTCAAACTAAAGCAAAGAGTGGTTTATGGACTTGATGTTTGTTTTGTCTAGATTTATTCGGTTTTTGTGTAAAGATTTACTTATTCATCGTATAACAGGTAGTGGCATACGTACATGTAAAGCATTTTACATACAGCAGCTCAACTCATTGTTCTGGAGGCTGTTGCTCCCAAGTTCCTTTTTTTGTGCTTTCCAAAATAAATAATAAATAGAAAACACCATCAAAGTTTTACTCAGACTGATGAACAATTTTCATCGTAGAATACGATTTTACTTATTGTATTAGAATATCATAAAAGTTATTTCTATCAAAGGATAATAACATTTCATTTTAAGCATTACTTTTTCATGTTTTGCGCCAAAGCAAGCAGATCGATATCTTTCAATTATTTGTGTAATCGGTCTGTCCTGTACGCTATTCATCTGGCGGAGGTAAAAAAAAAACGTATCTCTTTCAGAAGAAATGATTTTTGTTGAATGTGTGACTTTATTTGCTGTTGAAAATAGTTTTATTGTTAGTTTTCTTGGAAGAAATCCTGTTGTGTGACCGCGGTCAGTCGCCGAATGATGCCGAATGCATTCGAACATGTACACAATCTTGCTGCTTACCAACTGTTTGTTGTCGCGCTTTCAAATTTAACGGTCTAGCGCAGTACACACGGAAACAGACCCAATCGAAAAAAAAAGAGATAGACATAAAAAAGAAAGAGAATCCTACCTCTTTTAGACGTGAAGGTGCCTCAGGACCTGCAAGAAACTATTTATGTTAATGTGTGCCTTTATTTACTGTTAGAAATTGTTTTATTGTTCGTTTTCTTGAGAGACCGTCCGTTGTGTGACCGCCTCCTAACACGGCAAGTCTTCGAATGATACCGAATTCGAACATGTAAACAACTTTGCTGCTTAGCAATTGTTGTCGCTTATTCGAACCCGTAAACAAGCCTGTTGCTTAGCAATTGTTTGTTGCCACGTATTCAAATTTAACGGTTTTCTAGCGCAGTACATGGAGGCATCAGGAACTATCGATGAAAACAAACTTGCAAAAGACGGGGAAAAGACAGAAAATCCTACCTCTTTTACACCTGAAGGTGCCCATGACCTAAAAGAAACTATCTATATTAAATGTGTGCCTTTATTTACTGTTAAAAAATGTTAAATGTTTGTTTTCTTGAGAGATATTCTGTTGTGTGGCCACCTCTTTGTAGGGACAAATTCGAACCTGTAAACAACCCTGCTGCTTGTTGTCGCGCATCCAAATCTTCTAGACTATCGCAAAACCAAGCGATGAAAACAAGCACACAAAACATGCGAAAAGTAAAGAAAATCCTACATATTTGGGCCTGAAGTTGCGTAAGGACCTGGTATCAATGGTTTGTGTTGCCTTTATTTACTATTGAAAATGTAACGGCCTTCTAGACTTGTGCAGTACACAGAGAGAACGAAAAAAAATCTCAGGCGATGAAATAAGCGCGTAAAACACGACTAAAGGAAAGAAAATCCTAGCTCTTTTAGGCCTACAGGTTCCCAAGGTCCTGCAAGAAATGATTTATGTTAAATGTGTGCCTTTATGTGCTGTTGAAATGTGTTTTTTGGCGACGCCTCAGGGGCGGAGGCATTTGTGTAAGTACTGCGATCGCTTTGAAAGAATTTCAAAAATTGCACGAATGCATTCCCTAGGGAATTGGTTTTGAGGTAGCCTCCGGCCTTGTGGTCATCGGAAAAAGCAGGAAAGGCCTATGTTACCATGCATGCAAATGGCACCTTTTCAGGCATACTGTGGCTTTTTGCACACAGAATGTTAATGATTGTCTTTATTGATATTTCAAATATGTTTTCTTCTATCAAGAGAGAACAAATTTCTTGCTCAGGAGCAGCATATTCAAGCTTATAATACTTCAAATATGTTTTTAGTTTCAACTATATGATGCTGGTCGTTTTTTTATAACTTTACTGTGTGACACATGTAGTGTAACAGTGATGTTTTGTGTAAGAAATTTTATTCACTTGTGTGTTTCTATCATGTATGGTTTGTGTCAGTCTTGTCTTTTTAGTTTTATTTCTTGCTTCCATGATGCTGTTGCATTCCATGCTTTGTTTTCAATTTTCTTGGCTGCAAAACATGAATGCACCACCCCAAGCCTTCCACGACTAGGTTTCATGCTAGCCAGTGAATTCCTGTTGTAGTCTGCATCTCAGGGTGGACATGGCGAAGTTTACCTGTGGGTATAAAGAGAGAAAAGAGCATAAATGAATCTATGCCAACTTTGGCCAGCTTTGATTAACTTAAATTAACAAGATTTGGGGTCATAAATGTAAATATGCAAAGCATGTGAGTCGATTAATTTTACAGAATGCAATGAAGCAGA